CAAATACAGAATTTTTAAAAAATTCAAACTTTTACTTTAGATGCTTGAAAATTAGCTTCTGTCGAAGTTGCTTAACAATCCATAAAAGCTTACAAATTTATCATGGGAAAAAAGTTTAATCCCAAATTGCTAAATGTTAACTGTAGAAAAACTAATTCATCTATCAGAGAAGTTTGTTTTAAACATTATCTCTTAATCATAAAAAAGCTTCTGCCAAAGTTTCATAAAATTCTATGAAGGTTTGATAAAGTAACCCCAAACTGAATCTATTTGTTAAATGTAAAAAAAAAACTAAGTCCATTTATCAGTTAAATACGGAAAAATGAAAATAAAATAAAATATTTTCAAAATTTTGCTCTGAATACTGTATTTTGGTCATAACTAAGCTTCTGTCCAAATTTCCTAAAATTCCATTCAGATTTGACAAAGTTAATGATGACTGAAAAACTTAAACCTCAGACTGTTAATCTACTTGTTTATTAAGTGTAAAAAAAAAACTAATAAAATTGAGAATGGAAATGGGGAATGTGTCAAAGAGACAACAACCCGACCATAGAACAGACAACAGCAGAAGGTCACCAACAGGTCTTCAATGCAGCGAGAAATTCCCGCACCTGGAGGCGTCCTTCAGCTGGCCCCTAAACAAATATATATACTAGTTCAGTGATAATGAACGCCATACTAAACTCCAAATTGTACACAAGAAACTAAAATTAAAAATAATACAAGACTAACAAAGGCTAGAGGCTCCTGACTTGGGACAGGCGCAAAAATGCGTCGGGGTTAAACATGTTTATGAGATCTCAACCCTCCCCCTATACCTCTAGCCAATGTAGAAAAGTAAACGCATAACAATACGCACATTAAAATTCAGTTCAAGAGAAGTCCGAGTCTGATGTCAGAAGATGCAACCAAAGAAAATAAACAAAATGACAATAATACATAAATAACAACAGACTACTAGCAGTTAACTGACATGCCAGCTCCAGACTTCAATTAAACTGATTGAAAGATTATGTCTTCATCATATGAATATCAGGCACAATCCTTCCCGTTAGGGGTTTAGTATCATACCATCATAACATATATGAGAAGAACATAACCTGTGTCATGCCAACAACTGGTTTTTAAATAAATGTCCATTTATCGGTTAAATACGGAAAAATGGAAATGAATATATTCAAAAGTTTGCTCTGAATACTGTATTTTGGTCATGAACAAGCTTCTTTCCAAATTTCCATGTAGGTACAGACTGAACCTAAATGTTGACGCAGCCGACGACAGAATCAAGGATTGCTATGTCTGGCTCAACATAAACCCACTGCAATTAATTTACAGTAAAAATATAAATATCAGATGGATAATCTGAAAAAAAAAAAAACACCTTAATTCTTGGTCTAATTGTATGTATAAAATTGAGAATGGAAATGGGGAATGCGTCAAAGAGACAACAACCCAACCAAAGAGCAGAAAACAGCCCAAGGCCACCAATGGGTCTTCAACACAGTGAGAAAATCCCGCACCTGGAGGCGGGCTTCAGCTGGCCCCTGAACAATAATGTATACAAGTTCAGCGAAAATGGACATCACACTAAAACTCAGAAACATATAAATGAACCAAAATTAATAGTTATATGTGTGTGTTAAATAGGGCCTAATTAAATACCAAAGGTGAAATGACATCAAATGACTTTTGCTTTCCACTGATAGGTATTTATACTAAAACTGGAGGTGATTTTTAAAAAAATTGTGCAGAATTTATCTCTGTTTCAAATAAAAAACTACTTGACATGAGTAAAGTTTTATTCTGTCCAGAACTACAGTTAAAATTTCACATAACATTTCATTGCAAATAAGATAATAACCATCACCGGAAGTAGACCAATCAAATTTTCACCACTTTTTTCCCTGTTTTCAAGCTTTAGTAACCATATCAATCTCGTTCCAAAATATTTTATAGAAACACCAAATAAAAAAATAATGGTGCTTTGAAACACCCAAGATATATGTTAATGACTCATAATTTTTTTATTGCAATGAAATGTAAGATTAAATTTCTACAACTGTCAAATTCAAGGGAATATTTTTTTTTCGACTCTTTTTCGTATGAAAGCGGATGTGACGTACTATGATTTGGTGGTATTACACCTTTAGTTGACCGACTGACCTTATCATGTAACTTAAACCTTGATCACTTATCCATGAAATGAAGTCGAGGTAAGGTGAACCCTATCCAGTGGACATGTAGAGGTTGCAAGGAACCCATATAGTCGCATATACCAAATATAGTTATCCTATTACTCATAATAAGTGAGAAATTCACATGACAAAAAAACTACAATTTTTTTTCAAGCAGTTGCTGAACCGTGGAAATGAGGTCAAGGACAAAGGACATATGACAGACGGAAACTTCGTAACATAAGGTATCTGCATACAAGGTATGAAGCATCCAGGTCTGCTACCTTCTGAAATACAAAGCTTAATACAGATAGTTTATGCTGCCACCTGAGAGTAATCTCTATGTCTTGCATAAGTCAACTTTTGTCGCAGGCAAGACAAAAACTATACACTTTTTATAAGCAGTCACTAAACAATGAAATTGAGGTTAAGGACAATGGACATATGACAGAGAGAAACTTGGTATACAAGGTATGAGGTATCCAGGTCTTCTACCTAATATATAAGTATATCTTAGCTTTAAACAAATAGTTAATGCTGTTTCCGCCACCGTATTAGCATCCCTATGTCTTGCATTCAGCAATTTTTGTTGCAGACGAGACAAAAACAGTAGATACATAATTAAGATTCACCATTCTGCCTGATCTGAAAGGCTTGATGGATAACTGTCTCATTTTTAATATATAAAATATATTTAGAATTAGGGAAAAAACCTCGGTCATCAGAGGTGATCCAGGGTTCAATGAAAAGGGGTGAAGGATGTGGATAATTGTGCATAATGGTAGAAATTGCATGATCTTATGCAAAAAAGAATAAACTGTTATCACAGAGATATGTCTCGCTTTTTTTTAATTTTGATTATGCAAATGTTGAAATTAAAATGGCAATACTTAACAAGTTAGGCTAATATTCAAAGTCGTTGAACCATGACTGAGGTACATGGCTAAACCATCTCCATGTAAATGAGATGCGCCAATGCTAATACAACTTCATACCAAATATCATTGACTTATTATAAGTTGTTCCCTTTAAACAAACCTAAACACAAACATTAACTTGTAAACTATGTAAAAGTTTCAAAGTCAATGAACCATGAAGAGGGGGTGGAGCTATATAAACTCCATGGAGACGATACTTACAAATGCCAATAAATTTGCATACAAAATATCACTGACTTAACATTAGCAGTTCATCTTAAACTGATCTTATCACAAACTAATACATGTAAACTAAGCAAAAGTTTCAAAGTCAATAGGCCATGACTGAGGGGATGGGCCAAATATTCTCCATGCTAATGCTAACATTGGCCTACCACTAATGGTTCCACTTCAACTGACCTAATCACAAACTAATACATGTTAACTAAGCAAAATTTTCAAAGACAATAGACCATGACTAAGGGGGCTGAGCCAAATAATCTCCATGGAAATGAGATATGCCAATGCTTATACAACTGCATACCAAATATCATTGACCAACCACTAATGGTTCCTCATAAACTGACCTAATCACAAACTAATACATGTAAAATAAGCAAAAGTTTCAAAGTCAATAGACCATGACTGAGGGGGCAGGGCCAAATAATCTCCATGAAAATGAGATGTGCCAATGCTAATACAACTGTATACCAAATATGATTGACCTACAACTTGTGGTTCACCACAAACTAATACATTGCTGATGCTACCGTCGTCACCGATGCCGGAAACAGCATACCTATGTCTCGCTTTTTGACTCAGTCAAGCGAGACAAAAATGGAGAATGTGTCCATGGGACACAGATGCCATAGACACAGATGATGCCCCCGCTTGCATATAATGTTTTAATGGGACATAAATCAAGAACAGTAAAAATGACACAACCCAAATTCGAACTTGATCTGTGTTTTGTGGCAATAAGCATTGTGTATAAGTTTCAGAACATTTGTTTAAGGCAAACTAAAGTTAGACCTATAATGGTTTACTTTTATAAATTGTGACTTGGATGGAGAGTTGTATCACTGGCACTCATACCACATCTTCTTATATCTAATTAGAGAACGGAAACCAATTTTGGGATGTGCGGATGGATGGACAAGGGTAACACTTAATGCCCCCTCTGCTGTGGCAGGGGCATAAAAATTTTCAATTTCTATCAAAACTTGCACCCCCTACACCCCACCTAAATCTGCTACTGTGGATTCATTTATTTTCGTGGGTATCAATTTTCGTGGATTGAGGAACACTTGCATTTTCGTGGATATTTGATTTCGTGGTTTTGCCAATCTCTGCATACAAAGCCAAATTAACATTTGTAATTCGTTGAACATTTGAATTCGTGGTTCACCTGTACCCACGAAACCCACGAAAATTGGTATCCAATGAATAATAATGAATCCACAGTATTGGTTATTTAGAAACATATTTTATGAATAAAAAAATCTTTTTAAATTTCATCTATTTTTGTGTGTGGTTGGATTATCTACTGTCACACCCCAAAACACCCCACATTAACTAAACACATGTTTTTGATTAAACAAAAATACCTATACTAATCAATACATTCCTGTGAAGAACCTAAGCATTAGATGTATTCACTGTGACCAAAACAAATAAAGCATAACTGTTTACAATGCTGCTAATTTAACATAAACAAATTAACTATTTGGCAAACATCCATGCTTTTTTTAACACAGCATTAGTGAGATTATTTTTTCTGTTAACCAGATTAGCTATTTCTTTTTCATGACACCCTCATTCTTTTTAGTAGATTTGTTTGACATTAACTCACTGGTATTTTTAATGGAAGCAAATAACTAACATGATAAAGTAAGAGTATACTTACCAAAGACTGACTGTTCAGGAAGTTAATGGACCCAGACTGTTAGGGATGCCTTTGGACCTCATTCCCTGGGATACTATTGGGTAGGACACTAGCCCAGCTCCACCTTGATGCATGGACACTGCTGACATGGACATGTTGTTCTGTGGAAGAGAGACCGGAACATTCAGAGATAAATTTCCAGGACCATTTGCCATTTCCCTCGCTAATCGCTGCTGCAATGCATGCTGGTTAACTAATTCACTATTAAGTGCTATTTGCTGCGCTAAACTAGTTGCTAGATGATTTAGGGACTGGGGTGGTTGTGCAGCCACTCCATTTACGGCTTGTTGAACATTTGGTCGGCTTACTCTATAACGTGCATTTTGTTCTAGTAATACTTCATTGGTTGCAGTTAAGTCTGCAACTTGTTTTTTGAGTTCCTCCACTTTTCTGCGTAACATCCCATTCTCTTCTTCAAGCAACTGATAACTATAAGGACGGGCAGGTATAGGATACCTTGTTTCAAATCCATTATATCCGTCAAAGTCTCTATCTGTTCGCCTCCGCTTACCTGAAAATCCCTCATACCCTTCATACCGATCAGATTCGTCATAAGGGTCATACATCTTATTATTTCTTTGTTCGTGACGTTTCTCTCTCTCATAATCCTCAAGACTAACATGCCTATATTTACATTTATTTCCCCTTTTGCAATTTCCTTTTAAATTGTCTTTGCATATTGGAACTTCACCTCGTAAAAGTGGAATGTCAACATTTGGTGGTGCTCCCATGCCGAGAGCTGCAGCCTGTTGCAATCGTACAGGCAACTGTCCGGTTTGTTTAAAATGTTCCTCTTCCTCACGTGTAATGTGAAGAAATTTACAATTTTGTCTTCGACAACCAGTATTTTGATAGTCATGACATATTGTAATGTCTTGTTTTCTACCTAAATTGCGAGCTTCATCGGGATTAGGATGCCTGTATTTACACCTTCTTCCACGCTTGCAAACATTGCGCAAATAATCCCGACAAATGTCATCTTGATCCTTACCATTTAAATATCTTGAGCTGTCCTCGCTTGTATCACTATTTTCTGACATAATTATAAGTTAGTAAAGTTTTAAAAAACACAGATAAGAAATATTCCAAAGTTAAGAGAAAGTTCAATGTCAATAAACAGATGAATATTTTGCTATATCAGAGCTCGGACTGCTGGCTTCATCACTGCATCCTCTGTTTGAATCTGCAAGTAAAACAGATAAGTGTGATGTACGCCGGTCCCAATAGAAGCAATGCTGCGCAAATGCAATAAATGTACGCAATGCATAATATAAAACTAGACTGCCAGAAAATGATGAAACATAACTATATTGTATAATAACTATATTGTATAAGTTGTACATGTATTTATAATAAAACTTAATGTGAATTCATTTGTAGAATACTAATTGTATGGATTGCATGGGTGAAGATAATACTCTCTGTTACTCTCAATCATTCATCACTATATTCTTATTTTTGGTAACTAAGATAACAGCACAAATTTGATATTCTCAAAGAACAGCATCTTTTTCTTAAATCCCCCCCAAAAAGTACTCATCAAATTAAATGAGAAAAATGGAGAATGTGTCCCGATGGACACAGATGATGCCCCCGCTTGCATACAACATTATAAAGGGACATAACTCAAAAACAATAAAAGTGACGCTACCCAAATTTGTACTTGATCTGAGTTTTGTGGTAATAAGTATTGTGTAAAGGTTTCATAATGTTTGGTTGGGACAAACTTAAGTTACTGAACAGAACTAAAAATTTTGCAATTTTTCGATTTATAAAGGGGCATAACTCTATAATGATTAAAGTGACGCCACCAAAATTCAACTTGATCTGTGTTTAGTGATAAAAAGCATTGTGTATAAGTTTCATAACATTTGGTTGAGGCAACTTAAGTTAGAGAACGGAAACTAAAAATTTTGCATTTTTTCCATTTATAAAGGGGCATAATTCGAGAATGGTTAAAGTGACCCCACCAAAATTCATACTTGATCTTTATTTTGTGGAATTAAGCATTGTGTATAAGTTTCATAACATTTGGTTGAGGAAAACTTAAGTAAGAGAACGGAAACTAAAAAGTTTGCAATTTTTCCATTTATAAAAGGGCATAACTCTAGAACGGTTAAAGTGACGCCACCAAAATTCAAACTTGATCTGTGTTTTGTGGTTATAGGCATTGTGTATAAGTTTCATTACATTTGGTTGAGGCAAACTCAAGTAAGAGAATGGAAACCAATTTTGGGACGTACTTACGTATGTACCCCCGCCGCTATGGCGGGGGCATAAAAATACTCAATTCATAGTCAAAATTAATGTTGACCATGAAAGTTAACAGCTCAGTGGAGGATCTCCAGGAGCAGCCCTAATAAAAATGTTTGTTTTTTAGTACACTTTTCTGAGATTTGACTGCTTGACTGAAGCCCTACTCCACCTCCTTCTTTCTTTCATGTGAAAATCCTGGATCTGTCACTGATCAGCAAATTATGTTACCCTTTGTAAAAAAGTGTACATTGGTCAACTTGTGAAAATTAACTATCAAGCTATTTCATTTCCTAATCACTCTAGAATAATTTTTATCTAAACAAAATAAAAATAATAAGTAGCAAATTATACAGATTTTTTGGTAGACAGATTTTTTATTTAACTGCTTAATGATTTCAGTCATACATATCCATCATTATCATCATCTGGGCTTCAGGCTTTAACCTATATCAGCCCACAAAAAGGTTTCAGGTTTCTTCACCTAACTACTTGAATGAATTCAGTCATACATGTCAATCATTATTATGGGCTTCAGGCTTCAACCTATATCAACCGGCAAATAGTCTCAGGTTTCCTGATTTTGATGGTTTGTACAATGTATCAAATATAACAATAGAATCTTAAAATTCACTTAACCTTTTGGTATTACAGTCATATGACAGGGGTTTGGGCCATTTCATTTATATGTGTAAGTAACAATGACAATGGATTCAACATCAATACCGGTATATATGGTAGATTTCTTTAAAAGACTCTGCCAAACCAAAACAAGGAATGAGCTGTCAAACTGGCTTTTCTGTATTTTGAAAGGTGCTTTCAGGCTTTTTTGACCTGTCACATTCTATGCCTATTATCCTATCTATTAAGGACCATAACTCCTGAACGGCATAAATGAAAATCATCATTATCAAAATTTGACCACCATTTTGTCATCAGTAGCAGCATATTAAAATTTTAAGAGCATTGGTTGATCGGTTCGTTAGTTATTACACGAAAACAACATAAAATACCATTTTTCAATCATCAAGAACCATAACTCCTGGACACCAAATCGAAAATCATCAATATTGAATTTGACCATTTTTTCATCAGTGACAACATATCAAAATTATAAAAGCATTGGTCAAGTGACCATAAGTAAATTGCACAGAAATGACATGAAGCCATTTTCCAAATACATCAAGGACCATAAAATGAAAATCGTTAACATGTAAATTGACCTCAATTTTGTCATTAGTATCAACATATTAAAATTGTAAAGCATTGGTTGAACAGTTCATAAGTCATTGCACAGAAATTGTTGGCAGCCGCCCACCCGCCCAGGTTCATAAGCTATTTCATGAAAACTGTTGCAAGCCGCCCACCCGCCCAGATTCATGAGCTATTTTACGAAAACTGTTGCCAGCCGCCCTTCCGAAACCAAGTTAAAAGACAGATATGTATTCATGCAACAAATATTTCAATTCCAAAGTTAAACAGACATTCAGGAATAAACCTGAACTGAAAGACAAATGTTGCCTTTTTACTGTGATGAAGAAAAATACTAAATTTATGCTTGTGACTTGACTTTGAAATGTAACAATTGACAAATGTTTTAAAACTTTGGCTGAAAAACACTACAATACTGTAAATAAGAAAGGACATCCTCTTTTAAAAGAGAACTTTTTGCTGTATACAGCTTTTAAATAATGCTGAGTAAATATTTGCTTTAATTGAAACCACCAGAACATGGAATGAAATATTTTACACTTTATAGAACCATTCTAAAAAATTAACAGAAACATCAATTGTGTAATTATTTGTTTTATCATTTCCCACACATTAAACATTATAATTGGACCATTAAGATACATACAATCCTTGTCATGCATTTAAGTGAATAATTATAATTGAAAAAGACTTCAGACAACACAACTTTTGTGCATATGTTATTATGAAAGTGTTTACCTCACCCCCTAAATTACAAGATGTACACATGCTATAACAATCAGAGCTGAGATTTGTCTTTGATGTAGCTGATGTTAGCTGGAGGAAATGACATACAATAACAATGATGAACTAAAATACAGATCATGGTTGGATAACCCATTCATTTCAATGTGTATGTCATAGTTCATGGCATTTACAAGTCTTTACAAAGTTCCCTCTTAATGCCAACCTTCTTTCTTATATTTGATTTCATGAATGCACAGTTTTCTCTGTTGTGGATAATGCCTATATGAAATGTATTTACATGTACTACACTCCCCACTAAATAAGACAATAATAGCTGCCTCATCTGCTGAGGACAACATTTTCATAGCAACACAAAAACAAAATTGAAACTTGATGTATAAATAAATGTCAATATTGTAAATAATGAACAATTGAAATGTTAGTTTTTCAAATGATGAATGTCATAATTCAAGAATACAAAATTTCTACAGAAAAGGTGTTATTGATTTTCTGAGTTGTATCTAAACATATACTGGTTTTTAAGGTACAATACCTGATTAGTGGGTCTCTGGTTTGCCTTTTTAATATAAAAATAAGAAGTATGATTGCCAATGAGACAACTCTACACCAGAGACCAAATGACAGAAATTAACAACTATAGGTCACCATAAACTTGTATTAATTAAGAGTTGTACTGGCTGAAAGATCAAATATGTTTCTTTTAAATCAAGCTTTACATGATATTTTTTTTTATTTCTTCCAAGACAACAAGAAAACATACAGGTAATTGCATGATTCAAACTTAACATAGCAGATTCAAACTTAACATAGCAGATTCCAACTTAACATAGCAGATTCCAACTTAACATAGCAGATTCAAACTTAACATAGCAGATTCAAACTTAACATAGCAGATTCAAACTTAACATAGCAGATTCAAACTTAACATAGCAGATTCAAACTTAACATAGCAGATTCAAACTTAACATAGCAGATTCAAACTTAACATAGCAGATTCCAACTTAACATAGCAGATTCCAACTTAACATAGCAGATTCCAACTTAACATAGCAGATTCAAACTTAACATAGCAGATTCCAATCCCAACAATGTTTAAAACACCCACTTCATAAGTATTATTGACAAGTGATTAATATACTCCAACCTAAGGTTGCAGACACCACTGAACATTAAATATTTACCCCCCTCTCCCAAGCTATAACAAAGGCTAAAATTGAACAAACTTACTGTAATAATAGGTCACTAGTATCAATAGTAAGACGATACAATGATGCTTCCTTCCGTGTATAACGTGTATAACACCCCACAGCGACAATTAATTTTCCAGGTTAACTTAAAGGCAAAATGCTAACAGTCATATCATATGGTTATATCATTATAAAATCATCTTTACAGCTGATTTGTACATCAAATGCATGTGCTAAAGACAAGCCAGAAAAAACTTGTCACTAATTTGTTTCTTATCTCTTGGGGGGAAATCCATGCAAAGAAAAATGGTGCAAATTAAGGATGTCTGCTTGATAACCCATTAAGTGCAATCAGCCTAGTACCTAACAAAGTGTCTGGCCAAAACAACTGTTGTATGACCACCAAGCATATCTGGTGGCAAATCTGCCTAGTACCTTACAAGGTGTCTGGCAAAAACAACTGTTGTATGACCACCAAGCATATCTGGTGGTAAGATTAGGGTGTAATATTTCTATGGTTATTAAAAAAAAATATCACTATAATTTTGATTAAATGCAGCCTTCAAGATAATGGTATACACAGGACACCAACACCTTCAATGACCACATAATTTTTTCAACAAATAAAAAATTTCTCACTTCTTTAATATTTTAAATATTTTACCCAAGTTTTTAGTTTTTATAAACAATTAAAAAACTAGAGGCTCTCAAGAGCCTGTGTCGCTCACCTGATTCTACTTTGGTTTTGGATATCAAATAGATTAAAATCATTACAGATACCCTA